GCTATGGTGGATGGGTGTAGGTGATGGAGGTGGGAGAAGGGTTGGGGGTGGTCGGCTATGGTGGATGGGTGTAGGTGATGGAGGTGGAAGAAGGTTTGGGGTTGGTCGGCTATGGTGGATGGGTGTAGGTGACAGCGAAAGCTTGTTGGACGCAACCTAACTCTTAACCCCATGCCCCCCCCCCTTTTCTACCCGGGCGCCTGACCACGTACAAGAGGAAGGACCGTACGAGCTACCGGGGTTGCAACACACACACCTACACATACCCCAGGTCACCGATTGCAGCAAAGGGTGAGGATGGACTGAACAGGTTACCGGGGACTGCAACGCACACACTTACACATACAGGGTGTCACCGGTTACAGCAAAGGGTGAGGATGGACTGAACAGGTTACCGGGGACTGTAGCACACACACACACACACATACCGGGTGTCATTGGGTACAGCAAGGGGTAAAGATGGACTGAACAAGTTACCGGGGACTGCAACACACACTCATACACATACCGGGTGTCACTGGGTACAACAAGGGGTAAAGGTAGACTGAACAAGTTACCGGGGACTGCAACACACACTCATACACATACCGGGTGTCACTGGGTACGGCAAGGGGTAAAGGTGGACTGAACAAGTTACCGGGGGCTGCAACACACACTCACACACATACCGAGAGTCACTGGGTACAGCAAGGGGTAAAGGTGGACTGAGCAAGTTACCGGGAATTGCAACACACAATCACACACATACCGAGGGTCACTGGGTACAACAAGGGTTAAAGGTGGACTAAGCAAGTTACCGGGGACAACAACACATACACATACACGTACCGGGTGTCACTGGGTACAACCAGGGGTAAAGGTGGACTGAACAAGTTACCGGGGACTGTAGCACATACACATACACATACCGTGTGTCACTGGGTACAGCAAGGGGTAAAGGTGGACTGAACAAGTTACCAGGGACTGCAACGCACACTCATACACATACCGGGTGTCATTGGGTACAGCAAGGGGTAAAGGTGGACTGAACAAGTTACCGGGGACTGCAACACACACTCATACACATACCGGGTGTCACTGGGTACAACAAGGGGTAAAGGTGGACTGAATAAGTTACCGGGGACTGCAACACGCACTCATACACATACCGGGTGTCACTGGGTACAGCAAGGGGTAAAGGTGGACTTAACAAGTTACCGGGGACTGCAACACACACTCGCACACATGCCAGGTGTCACTGG